GCTTCTTGTATTTATTCCTGTATAAGCAGCATTTCTGTCTGTTTTCCACACCACAGTGAGGTCCAAGCCCTCATCCTGCACCCTAGCTGTCAGTTAAAGTAAAAAAGGCTCCAGGGTGTTAGAGTGGCCAATCACAATGACCTGGGAAAGCATAATGTCCTCCTGCAACTTTGTAGTAAGAACCTGAGCCCCAGGCAGATTACTGTGAATAGACTTTATTCAGGGTTCAAATTGCCTTTGAAATAATAGAAAAATAGAATCTTCCATTTACAGGCTGACTTGATGCCAACAGTGGCAGAAAAATTACACAGCCTTTTCCTGGAGAGATGAAAAGCTGCATAAAAATGTTAATATTGGGCTCCGATGGGCTCTAACCCCCTTGCAGGGCCAGAGGTGCACATCTGGGCTGGTTTTCCCTGGCATGGAAACAAATTCAAAGTCTAACTGGGTTGTGCAAGGATGTATTCCAGTAAAATACCTGATTCCAGCCAAGGTGCCCAGGCTCTGGGGCAGCTGAAGCACTTGCTGACCATGGGCTTGTTCCTCTGCTGAAGGGCAGTTCCAGCAGCAGTGAGGAGGGGCCACTGCCTGTGCCCAGCTGCTTGCTGCTCATCACACACCTCCTGGACTACTGGGAGGAAAGATTAAGTAAGGACAACACCCCAGCCCTGCAGTCAGTGCAGGTCAGGTGAAGAGCACGCTGCCAGCAGCCACCATGCTGTGCTGGCCTTGGAGGCTCCCATGGGGCCAGGAGGGGACTGGAGAACACTGGTTTATTGTGAGCTGCTCTAACAGCCTCCGCCAGCTGCGCTTAGCAGGGAGGGGAAGACAGCTACAGACTGCACCATCCTTAGGCCAGCTTCCTTCAGCCTAGCTTTATGCTAGAGGCAATTTATCTTGTACCCTAAAAGTGCTTCCTGCTGCTCTGGTGGGAAGGGACCTTTCTGAGGTGCCCATGGCTCACATTCCTCACCTGTTTCCCTCAAGTAGGGGAGGAAACCAGCCCCTTTCCTGCTGTAGCTGTGGTGGTCCCTTACCCACCTGCATGTGTGGGCCCTGGCCCCAGGGCTTATACCCTGCATCCTCTCATGGCAACGAATCACTCCCGTTAGCCCTGGCTCAGCAGCGGGGGATGGCTGATAATCTGGCCACATTCTCCACAGGGCTGGGCCAGCAGCAAAGGGAGTTTCCTGGACTAAGGGATCTGATGCTGCTCTGGGGTTAGTCAGGAATTTTACACACGAGGTCAGAATAGCCTCTGACAGTCAGTACAAGGTGCAGGTAAGATCCCTTGCCTCTTCTTAGCCAGGACCCTAAAGAAGGGCTTGACTCTGGTCCTGAGCATCTTCTGTCTCCCAGGCAGCCAAGGAGGAGGTAGGACTGGCTTCCCCATTCATCTTCCTCAGGGGCTGGTAGAGGTAGTCACCACCCTCATGGTGCCTCTCTGACCTGGCCTTGAGGAAAAGGCCAACGTTGCCCACGGCACTGATCATGAGCAGCAGAGCCAAGACAGAGGTCATGGTGATCCAGGTTTTCCTGTGAGACAGGAAAAATGCAGGTGAGCAATACCCCTGGGCCTGCCTTCACTCAGCCCAGTGTGCAAATGGTTCCTCAAGGTTTGCACTCCCTTCTCTGGCAGCACAAGCTTCTGGTTCTGCTCTTGGGCAGGTGAGACAATGCTCTGTGAAAGTCTCTAACAGGCAGATCATAGAATCCCAGACTGGTTTGTGTTGGAAGGGACCTTAAAGCTCATCCAGTTCCAACCCCTGCCACAGGCAGGGCCACCTTCCACGAGAGCAAGTTGCTCCAAGCCCCGTCCAACCTGGCCTTGAACACTGCCAGGGATGGGGCAGCCACAGCTTCTCTGGGCAACCTGTGCCAGCGCCTCAGCACCCTCACAGGGAAGAGCTTCTGCCTCAGAGCTCATCTCAATCTCCCCTCTGGCAGGTTAAAGCCATTCCCCACAAATGGCTGGGTTTAGCTTTCCCTCAGTCAGCAAGTGCCCCGCTCTGCCTGCAGAGCCACAGCAGCCTCATCCACAGGACAGGAGCTGTGTGCTGGCGTGGGACCTGCCCTTGGCTGTGTTGCAGTGTGGTGGCAGGAGAGGAAAGGGAGCTCTTGTCTGACTGGGGGCACGAGCTGTCACTGATGGGGGTCTCAGCTCAGCACCTGCCTGACAATGAAGCCTTTAGCACCTTCCCTTTCCCCTCAAGAGAGCTGTGGGTACCACAGAATCCCAGCTCTAGGGGAACCTTGAACATGGGTGGTTTGGGCAGTGAAGGGGCAGGTCTCTGAGCTGCCCTGCCACCCAGGAGGTGGCGTGGACACCTCCACCTCACGGTGAGCAGCTGCTGGTACATGTATGCGATGAGTATTATACACTTACTCTGACAGAGAAAATTTTTCTTTGCTCCTTCCTTTACTCTGGGAAACCAAACACTGCCCAGCTGGAAAACAAAGAGAGAGAAGAAAGGCAGTGTTGGGGGGGCTGTAAAACTCCACCAAGAATTTTACAAGAAAGAGCAAGTTTAAGTCAGAGGACAGCTAGGCAGAGCTGATAACTGAAGAAACACGAGGTTGGGCACTTAACTGCTCTTCTCACTTTGGTTTTAAAGCCACAAGCACTGATCAGAGGTACCTTTGTTTAACTGGCTGGAGGTGACGTTGCAGCTGCCCGTCTCCTGGTCGCAGGGACACGAGTGCTCACAGGGACATCGCTCCAGGCAGTTCGGCCCATACCAGCCCACGGGACACTCTGGGCAGTTGAGTACAAAGAAGTTGGTCATTGTCAAACCTCCACCTGCTTCCAACCCCCCGTCTATCACTGCAGCTGCCCCAGCACAGCTCTGACTGCCTCCCTGAGCTCGCTGCTCAGAGCTTCAGGCCACATCTCACCAAGGTGTTTGCATTGTTTCTGTCACTACAGCAGCCTCTGGGCTTGTTGTGGAAGCACAAGTGTCATTTTCTCCCTTTCCATAACTGCCCTCCAGCCCTGCTGTGTGGCTCGAAGGTGCAGCAGGGGTATCAGTGGCTGGTTCCTACAGGGAAGGAAGGGCTCCTGCCTGAGCACTAGCATGTGGACGGCTCTGTGGCTGAGCCCCAGCCTTCCTGCTGGCTGTTGTGGCTGTTCCACTTGCACCAGCCCCTGAGTTGACTGCTGCTGCAGTTTGTGTCCAGGAGTTTAGGTAAAAGGGATGGGGCTGGCTGAGTGTTGAGAGGCTGGGAACCAAGTGTCACTAAAGGTACCATGCACACAAGAACTTTACACCCACACTGTAACGAAGTGGTGCTGTCACTAGAGCAGGCTGCTCAGTGAGATATGCAGGGGGCTCGAGTACTGTAGCAAAGCTGCACTGGTTACACCATGGAGTACATCACCGGCTCTGGTAGCACTAACAGGTGTAAAGCTGGAGGTGGAATGCTTTAAGCCAGAACAGCTCTTTGGAGCATTTCAGAGTCATGGACTGGGGTCACCTGAAGCCCAGCTACAGAAAGGGCCTGGTGCAACACCCTCAAGGGAAGGATGCCACGTATCCATGTTCTATCCTCATGAGCTTTGGGGAAGCAATGCTGTTCTCTGGAGCAGACAGGAAGGAATCCACACTTCTCTAACAATGAAGAAAATTCCCCCCTCTCTGCTCCCTCCTTTCCTTTCTTGCCAGCCTGTGTAGCACAGGGAAGCCCCTAAAAGCTGGGAGCTAGCAGCTCACACTCCCACTGTGAAGCCCTGAGCCTGCTTGGCAGAGCTCACCCTTGCTTTGCCTACAGGAGGTGGCTCAAAGGCGACACAAAGCCCTCTCCCAGCCCTCACCTTGCTCGCAGCTGGTGCCGTGGTACCCGGCTGGGCAGGAGCAGGCTCCATGCACAGGGTCG